GTTGGGGGAGGGCCTTGGGGGAGGGGTTGGAGCAGGGGCAGGAAGAGGCGGAGCAAGGGCGGGGCTTTGGGGGAGGGGCGGAGTGGGGGTGGGGCCTCAGGACAGAGTCGGGGTGGAGCACCCCTGGGGGGAAATAAAAGTCAGCACCTAGTCCCTCGTTCTGGCCCCTGAAGAACAGCACTGATCACAAGGCTCTAGCCACTAGGTTTGCTAGCAGTGGGTGAATCGGAAAGGCAAAACCAAGCCATTATTCCTCACTGCTTAGCACACCTCCCACGCTTTCCATCATTTTAAGCTCTACTAAGAAGCATCAGTGTTGAGCTTAGCCATATAATTTGACTAGACCACGGTTATGCCTGTACGCCTTGCTATTATTTCATATCTGCATTACAGTAGTGCCTAGAGGCCCTATTCAGACCCGAAGGCCCACTGTGCTAGGTTCTGTACAAACGTGTAGAAGGACATTGTCCCAGGCCCAAAGACCGTATCCTCCAAGACAGGTGGCACATGAAGGATGCAGCAGAGAGACACAATGAAATCAATACAGTTGTTACCTCGAGATACATTTGCCATGTGTTTATTATTACAAAGAGACAAAAGAAGGGCCAATTATTCCCATCGGCCCCTGAAGATGGTTGACTGGCTAGTTTCTGACGGGGCTTATGGCAGAAGTGAGTCTGGAAAACAGAGCTATTTGGACAGTTGTCTGATTGGAGATGGAAACATCCCCCATTTTCCTAGATTCTTGGGAAACGATCAACTCTAATTGCTTGTTGGTATTTATAAAGTGCTGATCGGACTGATCTGGTCACAAGAGCAAAGTCACCCAGCTGTAATGCCAATGAAGGCAATGGCAGTTACTCCAGGGATGGTTTTGGCGCACAGATGTTACTGACACTAGTTTCCCTGTAAAGAACACTGGGCCAGATCCTCCGGCACATACGGACACTTTGTGCTGCACCGTGGGTGGATGCTGGCTGTAGAACCTGGTCCCACAAGGGTCATCCCAGTTCAAAATGGACCCTTTGGTGGCTCAGAGCCAATCATAGACACATGCCTTCAACACGCCCTCCCTGCTGCTGTCATGTGGGCTGTGACCAGAGGAAAGAGGACATGTCTGGATGTCCCCACCTTGTGCCAATCCCTGACTGGTTTCAGCCCCATGAGCTGGTGAAAATTAGAGCAGCCCAGAGGCTGCTCCAGCCTGGTGCAGAGGGGCTGGCCCTGCACCCCCAGGATCAAGGGGATGCAATAGGGAGATTTCTATGCTCTTGTCTGAAGCCTTCACCCCCAGCATCTACCTTCTCCTGTGAGCTCCTTGGTGATGGCCACGGATCCAGCCTCCAAGGAATTTCAGTGAGTTTCTCTCTCCACAGTCCTGTCTCAATGAGGCCTTTGGTGGCCAGCACCGCTGGCATCCCTCAGTCTCCTTTGTATCTGCGCAAAGCTCTCCGTTGAGTCACCACTTCAGCCGCACAAGTGTCCTGAGCCCCCTTTCCCAGGTAAAACAAAGGCTGTATTTTCACACACACATCTGTGTTTGCATCCACAACCAACACATGTCACATTGGATGCGTACCTATGTAGCCTAGGCCAACCTGCATTTGCATATGCAAATCAGGTATCCGTGCATTCAGCTCACCCATTACTCTGAACAAGCCTTAAGATCTAATGTAGGCTATACTTCAAAATTCACAGAGCTCACAAGGACTTTCTACCTACCTACCTACCACCATAGTACCTATGGGCCATTGCATACTATACATGCATTCTATGGTTGGCTTCTCATAAGAATGGCCATACTGGGTCAGACCAAATGTCCATCTAGCCCAGTATCCTGTCTTCCAACAGTGGCCAATACCAGGTGCCCCAGAGGGAAGGAACAGAACAGGTAACAATCAAGTGATTCATCCCGTCTCCCATTCCCAGCTTCTGGCAAACAGAGGCCAGGGACTCCATCCCTGTCCATGCTGGCTAATAGCCATTGATGGACCTATCCTCCATGAACTTATCTAGTTCTTTTTTGAACCCTGTAATAGTCTTGGCCTTCACAACATCCTCTGGCAAAGTGTTCCACAGGTTGACTGTGCATTGTGTGAAGAAATACTTCATTTTGTTCATTTTAAACCTGCTGCCTATTAATTTCATTTGGTGACCGCCTCGTTCTTGAGTTATGAGAAGGAGTAAATAGCACTTCCTTATTTACTTTCTCCACACTGGTCATGATTTTATAGACCTCTATCATATCCCCCCTTAGTCGCCTCTTTCCCAAGCTGAAAAGTCCCAGTCTTATTAATCTCTCCTGATATTGAAGTCGTACCATACCCCTAATCATTTTGTTGCCCTTTTCTGAACCTTTTCCAATTCCAGTATATCTTTTTTGAGATGAGGCGACCACATCTGCACGCAGTATTCACGGTGTGGGCAGAGCACGAATTTATAAAGCGGAAACCTGATAAATACTGCCTTACACTCCTCACCATTCTCAAGT